AAGATGTATCCTTAGGCCCCCTCCTCGATTCAGAGATGGTCTTTCCCTGGCCTCTTTGACTCTGCGCTCAAACCAGCGTTCCTCCCTGTCCAGGGTGTGTACATCCTCATCATTGAAAGAGTGTCCACTGGCCTGTAGGTCTGAATAGACTGTGGATCTGCATTTAATCAATGATCATGACAATGTCCATATTAATGATCAAGAAACTGACCTTACAGCCATTGTTCGTCAATGGTGCTAGTTTCAGTCATTGTGCAAATGTATAAGGTTGGGGAAGCCTGCAGTCAGCTGAGGCTGAAGAAGTCACTTAGATGATGATGATGTAACATTTCTCCCACTGGAAAGGCTATTTCAAGATGAACAGAATCAACTTTTTGGGAGCTCACAGATATGTTTACACTCATGTCAAAAGTCTTCAGACAGCTCACTGATGAACAGTGCAGTGGTGGCTTAATGTCTTTCTGATAACCATCTGAGCACATCCAAAATAATCAGAGGTCCACAGAGCAAAGATGTTACAGCAGTATTTATTTGAAGGAATAAACACCTACACTTTCCATGATGTGAGCTGAAAATAAGGATTGCAAAGATTAAGATATGAGGATGTGATGTTAAAGACTGTCTTCCTTAGGGATGGGAATTGATAAGAATTTTGCAATTCCGATTCTATTGTTAATATCACTTATAGATTCCCACTGACTCCACTTTGAGAGTCACCACCATCTCTAAGCAGCATATCAAAGACATTACATTCATGCAAATTAATTACATGCTGTGGGTCACATGTTTGTGCATGTTGGAGGTATTTCCCCTTACAGAACACTTTTCCTAAAAGTAATGCAGTACATTACTTAATTACACCCAGGAGAAAGACATTCTCATTATGTTACTTTCATGTTACTCTGTAAAATGATTTGAAACACACTGTCTCATAATCAGCATTTAACAATATAAACCTACAGGCTACAGCCCCACACACCAACACAAACCCCTATCCTAATGAGATCACACGTGATCTTTCTCTTAGTAATTAGGTATGAAAACAAATCAAAGATGAAAACCAGTACAACGACAGTCTTACTCTCTGCTCACATTCACATTGATGCTGTAGAACTGATCACACTGAGCTTCACAGAGCAGACAATGATGAGCCAAAGCAAACTGCAAAACAACCCAAAGATACTCTTTAATGACTGAGTCAGTCAGCTGATCTCAGACCAGCAGAGCAACATTTCAGCATTCAAGTACAAAACTGAAGGCAGAGAGCAGAAACCAGCAGCAGCTGGAGGAAGAGACAGCATTTGATCTGTGGGTTCTTCATCAGTCAAAGGATTTTCATCAAGTAGTGAGAACTGTCCTTTGATGTAAAATTTAATTTGTTTGTAACGTTATTTTTAGATCCTCTGAGAATGAGGGACTGTGTAAAAAATGTCTGTAATTCATGAACTGTTAATGTTAGACTGAAGTTAAACCCTGAATTAAAGCTGGAAGACTGCACTTAGTCACATCTCGATGGTTTGATGTAAAGTCCGTTATATTGGTGCACAGATGCAGAATTATAGAAACCATCCTTGTCCAAATAACTATGGACCTGTACAAACTTTTATTTTGAAGTCATATCCCTTCTTTCCTGTATGGACAGGAACTCCCAGCAGTGTGTGTGAGACTATGGGGAAGGCCGACGTGTGGCTCATCAGGACGTTCTGGGACATTGAGACGCCACGGCCGACCCCACCAAACTTCAAATACGTGGGCGGTCTACACTGCAAACCAGCCAATCAGCTGCCAGAGGTGTGAGCTCTGATTGCACACACTTTTATACTGAAATGGGACAGGTGAGTGTTGATGTAATGATGATGTCACATCTTCCAGGACCTGGAGGCATTTGTGCAGAGTTCAGGTGATGCCGGCATAATTGTGGCTTCCTTCGGCTCCATGGTAACCAACCTGACGATGCAGCACGCTAACATCATCGCCACCGCCTTCGGTCAGATCCCACAGAAGGTCAGAAGCTCCACCTACTCACAGACAAACAATCAGGGACTGGGCTGTCAGCAGATATTGATTGCATCATTGATTACTTTCTGCAATAATCATCAAAAAAATACCTGCAGGCAGAAGAAGCTCAGATGGTTTGTTTCATCTTTGACTTGAAGAGTGTTTTCTACCTTTCAGGTGATTTGGCGTTACCGTGGCGAGGCTCCAACTGCATCGGCTCCAAACACGAAGATTTCTGATTGGATCCCTCAGAACGACCTGCTGGGTATGACTCATTCATAATGTCATGGAATTTCAAAATAAAAGCTCAAATAGGCCTCTTATTCACTTGCTAAGTGGCAACATACCAAGCCTCCTTCCAGGTCCAGACTCCTCCTGCGTGGATGATAATCCTCCTGTGGATGGCTTATCATTTATGTCCGAAGTGATAACAGTATATTTTATGTTTTTGGTGGTGGTTGGGGGGGGGGTAGAAATCTCTGTCAGTGCATGGTGTATCTTTACATAGAAGCTAACTAGCTGACTTCCCGTTAACTTTAAACTCTGTTAAATTTTATAAATCTTGGATGCCTGTATGTTAAACTTTATTTAAACAGGTGTGAGAGAAGCCAAACAGATCATTTCATTGAGGATGAAAGAATTTTGGCTGTTTTTAACTCTCAGTGATGCCCAAGTGTTTATTTGAGTGTGAGAATCTTTGGTAAGTTTTGACTCAGAAATGGAAACTAACATAATCAATATTTGCAAAAAGATGTTCTTTCACAATAAAAGCTCTGTATTTTTTTTGTCCTCAGGCCACCCAAAGACAAAGGCATTCGTGACACACGGCGGCACTAACAGTCTATATGAAGCTGTGTTTCACGGCGTGCCTCTGGTGGGCATGCCGCTGTTTGGCGATCAGCCTGATAATCTCGCCCGTATGAGCCGCCTCGGCACCGCCATCGTCCTGGACTTCAACCATCTGACAGCTGAGGAGCTGGCAGAGGCGCTGCACGTCGTCACAAACCAGCCAAGGTAAAGGTGATTTTAGTGTGGAATTGTGTTTGTATATTTCCTGTTAATAGTTTCATCTTTGGACATTTGGACCTGTTTAATAACATTTTATTTAATAATAATGGATTGGATTTATATAGCGACCTTCCGGTTACAGATGCGATTCCCAACCCCCTGAGCCACGGTCGCCCCATTTCCTGTCTTTGACCTGATTCCTTCACAATAAAAGTGCACTACTGTTTAACAGTGAAACTGTCATATGACTTCCTGTTTGTTTACCATGCACAGCTACAGGACCAACATGCAGCATCTGTCAGCGGTGCACCGCGACCAGCCAGTAACGCCACTGAGTACCGCCGTCTTCTGGGTGGAGTTTGTGATGCGACACGGTGGAGCTAGGTATCTGCAGTTGGCATCATACGACCTGAACTGGTTCCAGTACCACAGCTTGGACACCGGTGCTGCCCTGCTGATTGCTTTGATGACCGTCGCTGCTTTGTGGTGGGTGGGGATACGCTGCATCCTGCGGCAGTGCAGACGGCGAGCAGGAAGAGAGAAGAAGGACTGAAGAGAGATTTCCTGTTTGCACCGTCCTGTTGGTATTTACAAAGGAGAGTCTAGTAACAAGACTATGTACGAAAGATGGGAAACATTATCAGCTGACCCTGTTCAAGGCACAAAACATAGGGAGGAGAATATTTAAATTAACCCATGACCTGATTTACAGACCAGCATTTACTACTGATTGAAACAATATTTAACACATAAAAACAAACATGTTTTTTTTTTGTGCCTGATACTGAAATTAACTGACTATGCCAGTGTTTAGAAAACTCCTTAAAAATCACCCAGAAAACTGACCTCACCTGAGTCCTATTTGGGGATTGCATTTAATCTGTGTTTAACAGGTTAAACACAGATTAACTGGTTTCATCTTCATTAGGACTTAATATCTAAACATTTCAGAATCCCTTTCCATAACTAATGGTGTTCCACAGGGATCCATCCCTGGACATGCCTAACACGTTCTGATTAAACTGAGAACATGCTGTTCATGAGGTCACCTGAGGATTTCAAGCTTGCAGTTTATATTTATATCTGAACTCTTTGATGTCATAAAATGGAATTTTTAAAATCTCTATGAAGATTTAATGACTCGTTGGATACTAGATAAAATTTTATCACAATGCTGAGCACATATCAATATGAGTTTTATACAGAAATGTTGAAGCTTCAGTTTTTTTGTTTTTTTTTTGTTACAAGTGATTCTTTCCCTGCTCACCTTTGTATGTAAAAATCGGGATGGTCTGCCCTCACAAGCTGAAGAGAGCAGCATTGTGCAGTCTTTATGAGTTTCTTACACTAACCAATCACATCCACTTACAGTCAAACACAGTGCTCACATAAAGCTCTCCTTTTCCACTGGAACATTTTCAAAGATTATATTTATGTATCAGAGGTCACACCTGCACCAGCATTTCTTAATCGCTGTATCTGTGTATTCTGGCTATACATGTTGATTGTGCAGAAGTCTCCTTGGACAGAAAGGTCCTGATCACAGTGAGAAACCTGTAAAACTAAAGGATGTGGAAATAAACTGCTGTACTGGAGTTTTTCCTGGGTGCTGCTGTGTGGTTCACTACTCTAAATGTAAATGTTACTTAGAGTCAGTCACACTGCAGAGGGTTTTCAGCAAACATAGTTACCGTGAGTGGCTTTATTTATATTTTCACAGACTAAGTCTGATAATGAAAAAATTGCAGTTCTGAGCCTGTGGTTAAAGTCACCTGCTGTAAAAAATGTTATCTGAACTGAGCACTGACTCTGATGAACCTCTAAGAAATGAGAAAACTTGAGAAACTGTGAGTGAGGTCCAGCAGGACAATGAATAAACAGGTTTCTGTGTTTGCCTCAGGCTTTGTGTTGTCATCCAATCAGAGCACAGCTCTCACCTGTAGCTGACCTCTGAGCAGATTGGACTCTGGACCTGCAGTTTCAGTCTGACTGGATTTGCTCACAAACTCAGGATCTTTTTGTTGTTTCACACATGATGCAGGTTTCCACGTCTCTTCCTCTTCTTCTTCTTTCCCTCACCCTCCTGCTCCTTCATCCCGTCTCCACAGTACATGGTGGCCATGTTCTGGCATTTCCGGGAGAGTTCAGCCATTGGTTGAACATGCGGAACATCATAGAGGAGCTGGTGAAGAGGAATCATTCGGTCACCATCTTAGTGCCCGATGCATCGCCGTCTGTCAACTACAACAACAGCCGTGACACCGCCAAGTTCAACTTCCTGGTCTTCAAGGTAACACTGGTGTTTATACAGCGTGTTTGTAGTCACCCAAAGAAGATCCCTGACAATCACTGACAATCACTTCCATGGATATTAGTGTCCTTTGAACATTGCTACACATTAGTTAAGGGTTTGTAGTACCTCCCATGAAAAGTTTCATCATCAGACACTTTCACTTTCTTTGTCTGGAAGAAATCATGTTTTTTCTCAGAAAACATCCATTCATTAATTTTATTAACTGCGTATCTAACTCAGCATCACAGGGTCAATTTCAAGTGAAAAATAATGTGTTGATGCACTCAGGCTTTCTGCATCAATTTTAGATATTTATTGTTATCTTTTCTCTATTCCACTCTGTGGTGTCACAGTGCTGAGGTCTGTTAATATTTGGAGTCTTGGTTTAAGTTTTGATTTCATTATTTTTCTGATGGCAATTTTCCTAGAGGCTTTGAATATTTGTGATATTGCAGAAGTCCCAATCTTAATTATTCCTAATAATTGTATGAATTTTTCCTGTAGCATGCTGGTACCTGTTTTTTGTTAAAGCTTTAGCCCACTGTGTGTTTACAGTCCTGTGAGAAGCAGGTTAAAAGTGTAAGTTCATGACAGCTGTGAGGGACCAAGCAGCCAAAGCATAGAGGACACAGGAAAAAATGTCTTCAAAAAGGGTTTTCTTCATTTTAACCCTCAAAAAAGTTCAAAAGACAAAATTCAAAAACATAACTAGCAGGCCCATAAAAGAGGCCAACTAAATATAACTCCACAAAAAGTAATTTCTAGAAACTTAAACAAACAAAGTGAACACAACTTAACTCACAAACTGACCTAGATACAAAGACAAGAGGGTAGCTTTTATAGTGGTTTGGCCAAACCATTTACACACAATAGGGGAAAATAAAAACACACACTAATATTAACTAAGCACAGAATAACATAAGTAAACCTAAAACACCCCTGTTCCTGATAAGCACAACGTTGGCCCTGCTGAGCAGGCATTTTGTTCTCAGGCTCCTCAGCCACGCCTTTTGCCCAGACAGGAAACAGCCACCGCCCAAAACCAGGTAACTCAAAGAAAGAGAAACATAATTAATATAACAGAAAACATTTTTAGAAAAACCACACAATGCTATTATGCGTGCGCCTCATAAAATCAGTGTTCGGTTTAAATAAAATGATTAATGAATTATATTAATGGAAAAAAACTGCAAACCAAACTAATAAAGTGAACAAATGGACTGATTTACCCATGTGTGGCTGATGCCATCACAACAGCACAATTTGAAACACACTGAACAAATATGGCTGAAGGGATTTCAGGAGAAATCATCTTCTCTCTGAAAAGAACATTGCAGCATGATTTATGGTTGCAAAGCTGCATCTGGACAAACCACAAGGCTGCTGGATGTCATGGTCTGCAACCTGCTGCCCAGCATTCTGTGTTTTTGGGTTTTAAAGTTCTGTTAAATTGTTTACTTAAGTTTACATTTCATGTATTAGTCTACAACTTCTGTTATATCCTTTGTTGGTTGATTTTGGTATTTGTAGTAATCTTTTATTTTGAGTCCAACTAGTTTTTGCTCCTTTCTTGCTTATAGTAGTTTGCATTGTATTCCTGTTTTAGTTTGTCCTGCCTTCCCTGTGTTCCCCATGGTTAGTTAATGTTTTGCCACTCTCTGTGTTCCCTTAGTATTTTGCCCTCCTCTGTCAAGTTGCTTGTATTAATTTCATTAAGGTGATTGTGTTTTCTCTGTTTAATTATTACTTCCTGTTTTACTTTGAGAGAATTTGTGCTCCTTGTGCTTTGCTTTTAGTTTTGCTTCCTTTGTCTCGTCTGCTCTGATTTGGTTCACCTGTGTCATGTTCTCCACAGCGGTCTCCACTTCCCCTAATCACCCACCTGTATGTGTATTAGCTGTGTCCCAAAACGTAGGCTGCATTTGAAGGAGTCGACGAATTGGGTCAGCCTTCGTCGCCTGGCTGTGATGTAATCGGCCTTCAAATGTGGCCTCTGAAGGATGCAGCCGACATTTTGGGACACAGCTATTGTCTCACTCTCCTTTTGTCAGAGTGTCAGTTCATCTTCCCTTTTGTCTCTCAGCTCCAGTCCCTCCTTGCCCAAGTATCACTTCCCAGTTTACGGCTTTGAGTTTCGTTTTGTGCTTTATATTCTACATTGTATTTTTCCCTACAGCCAAATGGCTCGTGAGTTTACCACAGCCTGCCTTACATGTCTGCATTTGGTTCTTAACACACATCACCCGTTGCAATTTGTGACGGTATACTCTAACCATAAAATGGACCCAGGCACTATCACAGAGGAGTTTAGAGAAAAGAGAATTGTCCGGGAAACCAGTCATGAAGTTTCACTGATCGGCAAAGAGGTGGCTAGCAAAGGTGGACCACCTCTGGTGGTTTGGCCTGGGGCCAGCATCAATGTGGGAGGAAACAGGACAGCTCTGGAGGCTGCCATCAGTGAAGGTGACCGAGCACTATTGGTGGCTTGGCTGGACACTGATGGTGATGTCACAGGGTGGAATGGACAAAGTTTAAGTTGATATTTTTATTTGCTTGCATGTAGTGATGAGTTTTATTCTTTGATATTTTTAGCGTGTAGTGTTTTATTGTATTGGGTTTTTGCATGCTTATGTTGTGTTATGTGATTTGTTCCGGGGGGATGCCCATTCCACCGCCCCCTTCCTGATCATTAACCTGGCACACCTGGGGTTGGAGATAGCTATTTAATAAGAGAGAGCGTGAGAGGGGAAGAGGAGGAGAGACATGGCGTGGTAACCGGTGTGGGCGACGGCCGTGCAGAGCGGCACAGATGCCCGGCTATAGGCAGCAGGCCGAGGCATGCGGCAAAGGAGAACGAGACCGGAGATCGCAGACGACCGCACACTGGAGAGAGTGATCGGGGCTGAGCGGAGAGGTCTGTGTTGGTGTTGACAGGAGGTAGCTCCTCGCCGAGAGAGGCCCACGGCAGGGGATTAAGAGGCAGCGGGATGGTGCCTTATGTCCCCGGGACGGTGAAATTATGGCTACGCGTGTGAAGCACAACACAGTGGTGGGCGGAGTTAGGGGCTCTGCCCATCCAGGGTAAGTCCCGATCTATCCCGTCTAAGACGAACCTCCAGTGGAATCTAAGAATGGTGACTGCCGCTGGCCCTCTCTCCTTTTTCTAGTTGGCACCAGAATGAAGAGGCAGACAGGACGGCGACGATCCTGTTGGTTTCTGCACCGTTTGGATTTTTATGGGACTTGACCTCCATGGCTTAGGCCATTGCATTTTGGCTGTATAGTTTTAATTACTTTTAATGTTTTTAACTTCATGTTCCTGCCTGGCCAGAGTATTTTAGTGCTTTCTTTAAAAATAAATTATAGTTTTAGCAACTCGTGTTTATGTTTACTACTTCCCTTGGCTGCTCCACTGCTCTTCCCGTCAGAAGGGTTTCCCTTCTGTGTTAAACTTATGTCCCCTGTGAATCCACCTATGACAGTGTCGGTGAGGACCCCTCTGTGACTCAAATGCCATGGGACATTGAATTCTGGCTCAGGCCCTGCACTCTCAGGCAGAGCGGGAACCTTTGACTTAGGTGGCATGGGACCGATAGGTTCTGCTGAGGAGCCAGGGATATTGAAGACTCGGGGGACGCAAAAAGCTGATGCCAGCCCCAGCCGATGCAAGTGAAGGTTGCGTAGGCTAGGACTGGACTCATAGCTGACTGTGGAGGCTATGGCAGCGCTGCAGAACATGCAGATCTCCTTAGAGACTGACGCTGCAGCTGGGACCCACCTGCCCCCACCCTGGGAAAAAAACATTGGGTGCAGGAACAAGCTGGACCCTAGCCACCCCCATTCAGGGAGTGAGGATGGGTGTAGGGTTCTCATACTCAGGGGAGGCCCCGGGTAGATCATCAGTCTCTAAGAGTGCAAGTTGTGATACATAAATATTGTCTGGAAGGACCTGCACATATGCCTTACTAACAGTCTTAGGAATGTAGGCAGTGAAGAGTAAACAGTCTCTGGGAATCCAGGCTCAGGAGCATAATAAGCAGTGCTCTGCTAGGGCTTGCTTAGGAATATCACCAATGGACTTAGAATGAGCTGACTGAGACACACAATGAGCAGTTGCTGATGAGACTCGGGTATGTTATTATTCATTTCTCAAAAACTTTAACAGTTTTAGCCCCTATAGGCTCAAACAATAATGGCTTGGCTTTAGCAGAAACAGTCTTTGAAGCACCTAATTCAGGTAAAGTCGTTATCATGTTTGCTAACTCAGAAACAGAGCTCAGACTTTCAATGAGCAGAGGTAGAAAAAATAAGCTCAGGTAATTCATTATTGGAGAGTGAAACACTCAACTCAATTCTGACATCAGAAGGCTTTTTTAACCCAAAAGATAACCTCTATATACAATTCACCAGTCTCAATGTTAATACATACAAGAACACAATTAATACCAGCTGAGTCAGAAATAGCTGATTTATTTATTACTCACTTGAAAACAGAAAGGTTTATGTGACCATTTGCATTAGCTAGCACGGAGAATGAAATCGCTTCTGTAATACACCCAACACAACAGTTTATTTATTTACAGATTCATTAGTCTTCAATTTTTCCCAAAAACCCAGTGGTGGATGGCATTACCTTGGCCTCTAGTAACATTGTGAAGAATCTTGGAGTCATTTTTGACCAGGATATGTTCTTCAATGCACATATTAAATAAATATGTAGGACTGCTTTCTTCCATAGCCATGTAGCCAGACTTCTAGAAATCTGCTCCATCCAAAGTGGGATGGATGCCGTCTCACCTAACAAGACCTGGTTTCCTCCAGAAAGCAGTGTTGGGAAGGAGCCTTTTAAATGTATTCCACTACAGATTACAGAATACATGGCACAAAATGTTATTTGTAACGTATTCCGTTACAATACTTTGGATTACTTAATATTGTCATGGTCCTGAGTAGGGATGGGTAT